ACTGACCAGTAATGCAGACTGTGTGGTGATTATCTCATCTATAACATTGTCTTGTGCATTAAAAAGGGAAATACTATTAACTGATTTAACTTCAGATCGTGTTGGATAATGCTGCTCTTAATCGGATTGCGTGTGATCGGCTTCACGTTCAAAAACCTACATTCACACAGACAAATCAACTGGTACAGTTTATGAATAATTATTATTGAAACTGGTCTTATATGGAATCATTACTGTATTGTTTATTTAGGTATCAACTGTAATGTCTGCAAGCACAACAACACTTCGTTATCCTGGTTATATGAATAATGACCTTGTTGGAATGATTGCATCACTAATTCCCACACCTAAATGTCATTATTTAATGACAGCATATACACCTTTTACGAGCGATAAAGTTGAAAAGGTTCGATTTTGCTCGTACTTACAGTATTTCTTTTTATAACCTTATTAATTCCTGAATTTCTATTATAGGCCAAGTCCATACGTAAGACGACGGTACTTGATGTAATGAGAAGGCTATTGCAGCCAAAAAACAAGATGGTTTCAATTAATCCTTCAAAAAAAAGTTGTTATATTTCTGTCTTGAACATTATTCAAGGGGAAGCTGACCCGACTGACGTTAGTTTATTTATTTGGTTATGTGCTTCAGTAATAACATTAGTATATCTAACTACTACTGAATAGGTGCACAAATCCTTGCTACGAATTCGGGAGCGTCGGTTGGCTCAATTCATTCCGTGGGGTCCAGCTAGTATTCAGGTAGCCCTAACAAAAAAATCGCCTTATGTTCAGACGTCACACAGAGTAAGCGGATTAATGTTGGCAAATCATACCAGCATTGCTTCAGTAAGTTCAATTATAATATTTGTAAAATTACTTGTGGGTCATTTAAGCAATTTATCAGGCTATTTCATTTGGCAATGGCTAGCTTTTGAAGCGCACATGTGATCATTATGATCGTTTCAGAAAGCGCGGTGCTTTTCTAGAGCAGTATAGAAAAGAGGATATGTTTGCTGATAACTTGGATGAATTTGACGTTGCCAGGTATATTATTAACCTAATTACACTAATACATTATTAATAATGTTATTTACGCATAAACGTTTAATTATTCAGAGAAGTTGTGCAAGATTTGATAAATGAATATGAGGCATGTGAAAGCCCGGATTATATAAATTATGTGAGTCACTTTTATGGTGAGCATACTCATTGGTGATATGCTATTGAATTAATCTGAACTTTATTAATTGCAGGGTGTTTCCAAAGATCAAAACTAGAGTTTAGAACCGGGTTATAGTAAACCGTGTCACCAGTGTCAAAACGGTTCAACCGAGTCAAAAATTTACAACTCGGAACGGTTGAATATGTAACCTCTAACAATCTGTTACTATTATACAGAAAGCATAACAAAATTTAACATTATAATTGTATTGTGAATAAACACCCTTTTTCTCTTACTAATTTATCTAAATGTTCAAT